TGGTTCAAACCCACCAGCCACTCCTTGGAAGGAAGATTGGGCAATCTACTTCTGTAGTGATACTGCCTCGGAAACTGAAGGAGGGGTTGCTATGAGTTGGGTCTGACTCGATGGCAAATAACAACAACAACAATACTTTTCCAGATTATTCCATCACTGTTACCTTAAACTCACTGCTCCCTAAACTTTCTGTCTAATCTTTCTAATTGCTCTTGTCAGTTTAGATAATAGATAGATACATAGATAATTTTTAAGAGCACAATGCTCAAAGTAGATGTACCTTACTAATTGAGATAGGCTGTCTTTTTTGGTTCAAAGAAGATGTCAAGAAGATAGTTTTGGTTTAAGGTTTAAAGTTTAAAGATATCTCTGGGCAATTGTTTTGAGGGTTCATCTGGCTTCAGTGGCTCTAGAAAGTCTGGATTCCATTCAGAATTTGAATTCTGTTCCTCATTTCCCCCCCTTTTGATCAGAATTCTCCTAGAGAATTTTTTATGAAAATGTTCAGTAGTGGTAGCACAGGGCTTTTTATTTATGTGGCTTAAGTCCATTGATATTTACTGTGTAGCCAGTTCTAGGATTATGAGTGAGTTCCATTCCTATGTCTGCCTTGAAGTTGAATGTGTACATAAGTCAGACTATGTATGTATGGTTCATATCTAGCATCAGTTAGTCAAATGTTTGTCATAGTATATAGTTGCAAAATGGGCATGGGAGTGGCATCCTCTGACCTCCTCTAATTTCATGAGCGGGAGACAGAATCAACATCATCAGCATCAGCCCAAGGCTGATTCCTATGAGGCAAAAGTCAGACATACCACCACCTTCCAACCTTTTTGCCAATCCTAACACCAACCATCCCTCCCTTACTACTAGCTATTTCTCTTCTGGCTTGAATAATTTGTTGCATTGGCCACACAGAACTCACAGACAATACTCACAGTTATGGAGTTTATTAGAGAAGTAACAGGTTACACTTCAGGAGCACGAACACTCACAATACAGTTCTTTGATGAGGACAGCCTCCCCTCAGCAGTGCCCGAAGGCATGCCTCTCTTTGGCCCTTGGTCTCAGCCTGGCCTCTGTCCTGCTTGGGCAAGTGTTACAAAGCTCTTTCAGCTGTGTCAATAGGTGCACCCCACCCCACAAGCAGGCCTTCTGCCCAAAGGCACTCGGCTCTCTCGCTCTGGGGCTGACCAGCAACCCAGTGCTCTCTTGCTCTGGCTCTTGGTTCTGCTGCTGCCATCTCTCTGCCGCCCCTCAGCCATCTCAGCACAGGGATCTCAGGTGCAGGGATGCTCTCTCCACTCCTGCTTCTGTCTCTGGATGGCAGGGAGATCCCCTTTTCCACCTGTGGGATGAGTCATTTTAACTGATGGCAAAACTGACCAGTCCTCAAGTAGGGTTCCATGCACACCTTATTTCCATGGTCCTACCCCCACAAGGGTTCCAGGTACCTTGTTTGCATTATTAGCAACCTACCCAGTCCCCTTGGTGGGCCACAGAGCACTTCATCTTTTCATAGTCCCACCCAGTCTAGTAGGAATTGCAGAGACCATGGCTAGAAGAACCATACTAAGTAATTCACTGCACTGCAGTAGTGTCCCTTTCAATGAACAAAAAAATCAGAGAAATACATCCAGAGACACTAAAACGTTTTAAAATACTACAACAACAATAATAATGTTTTATGTACATTGCAAAGTAGTGCCTGTTTGTCTTTATGAACCAGAGGTCAGTTGTCAGCTTCATTAAAGGAGCCTTGGCTGTTTACTGAAAGGTTGGTGATTGAAACCCACCAGCTGCTCTATGGAAGAACACATGGCAGTCTGCTTTTGTAAATACTACAGCCATGGAAAGCCTATGAGGCAGTTCTAGTCTGTCCTGTAGCATCATTATGAGTTGGAATCAACTGGATGGCAATGGGTTTGTTTTGGATTTACCAAGCCCATAGCCCTAGGAGTGGGGGCTGTATCATGATAGACACCCCACAAGAGCTACATGGAGTCAGGGAGGATTTCACAGTCCAAGGGTGACTGTTTCCAGAAGGAGAATTAGAAAGTGTTTTCAGCAGATTTTCAAAACAATAATTAGAATGATAGTGTTTAGTGCAGCACTAGTCACAAAAGCCAAAAAAAAAAAAAAAAAGGAAATAACCTCAGAGTCCACCACCAGTTGAATAGATGAATAAAATGTGGCTTATAAATGGAATATATACTCAACCATAAAGAGAAAAAGTCCTGAGTCATGTTACCACATGGATGGACCTTAGAAACATTATGCTGAGTGAAATAAGTCAGTGATCCTGTTCATGTAAACTATGTAGACTAGGTGGATGTATAGATATCAGAGGTTATTAGTGATTTCCAGGGGTGAGTGGGGGGGCAGGCAGGGGGACTCATTACTTAGGGGAAACTGAGCCTTTGTTAAGGATGATGGAAAAATTTGGAACAGGTAATGGTGATGGTTGAACAGTATGACCAACATAATTCCACCAAATTGTGCACAGGAAGAACATAGAAGTGCAGATGTTTCATTACATACATATTTATATCACAACTGAAAAGAAAAAAGTGACAACAGTTGACTTTAGGCAGGTAATGAATGATTGAGTCTTTAGTAGTTATGGACCTAGCTATGTTTTCTGGAGAAGGGCTCATATAGGGGAAGACTGGGCAATCTACTTCTGTAGAGATACCACCTTGGAAACCCAAGGAGGGGTCGCTATGAGTTGGAACTGATTCAACAGCAGTGAGTGTGTTTTTTTGTGTGTGTGCAGATTTGTAACCTGGGTAGTATCCCTACCGTATGAATAGTGTCCCAATAAATTGCAAGTCTGTATACTAGTTTACTCTAAGCAGGCTAATCCTATAATGATACTAAAACATAGTTAGTAAAAGTTTGCATGTTTATTTTGATATTTTGTTTTCAAATATGCATATTTGTAGACTGGGTGATTAGGCTGTTTGAATTTTCTTTTCATATGCATATTTGTGCTTTTTAGACAAATTTAAAAAATTGTACTACATATATATAAATATATATGAATTATGTAAATAACAAAACATTTACCATATCGATATATTTTACGTGTACACTGCCGTAACATTAATTACATTCATAATTACATTCACCGTATACTTTTGTTTCTCTTCATATTGCATAAATCTTTCACCTGTTTAATTGCACTCATGTTGAGATCCTTTGTCTGTAAAGCTTTTCTTAGGTATTGTGATTTTATTTGGGTGTAATTTGTGGAATCTAGTGCTTCTGAGTTTCCTTTGAAGACAGGGAATGAGGAAGGCGAAGTGCAAGTGCATCGCTGAGTGTAATTCCTTTGCAGTTTCTCTTCCCTGCTCCTTGTTTTGCACATTCACTTTTGGCCAAGGACGACCATGTTCAATTTCATTTCTCTCTGACCTGTAGGAGAAGTCATTTCTCTTTCATTTCTTCTTAGTGTCTTTCTTAGAATTTAATAGTCTGGGGGTGACAGTAAGACTTAAATCTGTGTCACTGAGCTTAAACAGTGGACTTCGGAGCTGACTCAATGTTGTTGGATGGTCCGATTATGCCTGTTGAGAGTTTGCATTGCTGAGGTTTCCCTGTGTTCTCTGAAAACAAATGGAAGGGTTGTTAGATGCACTGTTGGTTTGTAACACTTGAGGCAGACTCAAGAGGGGTGTGGTTCTGGTGATGAAAAACGGCTTGACAATCACTGTCTATGTTTTTTATTATAGTGGTGCCTGTGGAGAGGTGAAGCTGGCTTTTGAGAGGAAAACGTGTAAGAAGGTAGCTGTGAAGATCATTAGCAAAAGGAAATTTGCTATTGGCTCTGCGAGAGAGACAGTAAGTAACCTGTGCGTGACGGTTGAGCTCAGCTCTTCACTGTTCTTGATTCTTTGTCATCTTTTTTTTGTTGTTGTTTTAATTTTTATTGTGATTTGGGTGAAACTTTACAGAGCAAATTCATTTTCCATACAGCAGTTCATACACATTTTGTTTCATGACATTTATTGCAATTCCCCACAAAGTAACAGCTCCTTTCCCACTTCCTCCTGGGAGTTACCTCTTCCCTGTGTCCTTCCCTCCCGTGCACTTCTGCCCCCCCCAGTACAAACACTGCCCTTCTGTTCTCCCACGATTGAGTGCTCCCAGGAGTGTACCTACCTGATGTAAATGTTCACCCCATGTGCCTGTCTGTTGTTTGGCTGGAAGCCACAGGAGTGAGTTCAGTTCCAGACCTGAAGGGCAGCTAGGGGCCATAGTCTCAGGGGTCTCACCAGGCTCTATCAGACCAGCAAACCTGGTTTTTTTTTTTATGATTGTTCTTGTTACTTCTTAAGTGCCCGCAAATAACCTTTAGAGTGGTGATTTTCAATCTAAGGAAGAACTTACTCCTCAGTCTATGAATTTGTGAGTACCCTAGATCATTTAAAATTTTTCAGTGTCTCTGAGTAATCTAGAAACTTTTACTTACAGATTATTTGGTGCCAAAAAGCTTGGGTTGTACTTAACAACGTATGTGGTAGGAAGTTAACTTTTTTCCTTCCGAGTTCAGAGTTACAAGACTGTTTTTACAATGAATGAGAGGAAGTAAGGGAAATAAAATCAGCCAGGATCCCACCGCTGTCATGCAACAGCTGTTTTCAGTTTTCCCCTTCCTTCTAGTCTTTGTTCATATGAATTGGTGGTTGAAATCACATGGAATATATACAGTTTTGCATTTTGCTTTTCCACGTATGCATTATATTACAAGCTCTTCTGTAGTATATTCAACTTAATCATCAGGTGTTTAGTTTATCACCTTCAGTTGTCATAATTTACTCAACCATTTCACCAGCCAATCACTAGGTGATCTCCCGTTCTCTGCTATGCTGGGTAATGTGGCTGTGCTTATCTTAATGTTCATGGATTTTTTATTTTTTTCATTTTAATTAAATTATTTTAATCATCTTTTTATATAGTAGCCATTCATTTTATTATATTTTTCTGTAGTCCACATTTACTGGGTAGGTGTTGCCAAATGTTTTGGTGTTTTCACACACGAGCCAACAGAGTAATGTAAAATGAGGCCCCTAATCACGTTTTTCTTTGTGGCCAGCTGTTTCTGGCTATTATACTTCAACATTCTTTAAAGATCGATTTTTTTCTTTTCCTCTAGACAATGCCATTCTCACGGGGCAAGAGGAATTTCCTTTCTGTGTTCGCTTTGTTAGTGGATGTTTTTCCCCTGCGATTTTAGATTTGTTTCCCATTTGGGGAGGAGGGGAGGAAAATACCTATGAGTTTTTAATGACTTGGAGGCAGATTTTGCTTTTTAATTTCATTCTACAAATCATGTTGGAGTCTTTCAGAGTGGTCCATCATCACAGCACACCCTGACTTGGTAATGAGTTTAACGGCTTACAGGAAGAGGCAGGCTTTCAAAATTAAACATCTGGGTTTCTGAGCCAAAATCCTTTATACATAAATATGTAATTCTATATCCTCTTTGCCTGTGGAGGGTGGCGCCCAGGAGGTTGAATTACTTGATTCATCGTTTTGGAATTGTAGTGGAGAACAGCTTCAGTACTCTGAAATGCTCTCTCCTCAGAAGAATCTGGTAGGTGTTTTCTTCCCCTCACAATGGGAGGAGTTAATTGGAACTCGTGCCTGTTCTATTATTAGAAATTTGACTTGACATGTTCTTCATGCATTTTAATTAAATACCTTCTGATTCGTGTGTTTTGTTTGTCTTACTGTTTTTATGAATGTAAATATTTCCAGAGCCAACGACACAAGTAGAGCTTACCAGTTCAGCCTGAGAACTGTGGAAACAGATAGGTTTCTGGTAGTGGGAACTGGGGCAAGTGACTTCCTTTCTGTGAGCTTTAGTTGGTCCACCTTTAAAACGGGGATAAGTATAGAACCCAGTTCATCTGGGGATTGGGAGACCTAAATAAGATGATCCTTGTAAATGAAACGCTTCACACAGGGCTTGGCATGTAATGTTTATACCATTCATTGAATACCTCACCGTTTGCCAAGCCCTGTGCTTTTAGGTAAGTTATTTAATTCTTTGCTCTCTCTGGGTCTCAGCGTCTTTATAAGAGTAGAGCTGAGTTTGGAACTTGGGCAGCTGGAAGCTTAAGTGTAAATATTTTTAAAATATTGCTTATTATTATTACTAATAAACTGTTATTTATCAAAGGATCCAGCTCTCAATGTTGAAACAGAAATAGAAATTCTGAAAAAGCTCAATCATGTAAGTATCACTGGAAAATAACTCTTATTTAAGTTTACTTGTTTTGATACATGGGAAGAGCCCAAAGCATTTCAATATAATAACCCAAAAACCTACTACCATCGAGTTGATTCTGACTCATAGCCACCCTGTAGGACAGAGTAGAACTGCTCCATAGGGTTTATAAGGCTGTAAGTCTTTACAGTAGCAGACTGCCTCATCGTTCTCCCTCAGGGCAGCTGGTGGGTTTGAACTGCCCACCTTTTGATTAGCAACCAAATGCCTTAACCATTGTACCACCCAGAGCTCCTTTCAGTATAATAAAGTTGGTATTAATCTGGGTTGTTTAATTTGTGTGTGTATGTGTGTGTGTTTAGCCGTTATTTAGCTGAACTTTGATCAATTTTGTTTGAGAAGATAATGCTAATTTTAGTAAATTTATTTTAATTTGACCCAAAGTTGTAACATCTTTGAACACTTTTTAATGATGCTGAATTCTAGTTACTTTAAACCAAAAAAATCCAAGGGTAGCCAATAAGTATAAGAACTTCCTGTCCTTATATCTGATTTAATGGTACCTGTGGCTTTATTTGGGAACTCTGGTGGCATAGTGCCTAAGGCACCTGACTGCTAATCAGAAGGCTGGCGGTTCAAACCCACCAGCCACTCCTCAGAAGGAAGACTGGGCAATCTACTTCCGTAGAGATACCGCCTCAGAAACCCAGGGAGGGGTTGTGATGAGTCAGAATCGACTCAACGGCAGTGAGCTTGGCTTGGCTTGGTGGCCTTATTTGGAGTCTCTGTGTGGCACACGTGGTTAAGTGCTTGGCTACTGACTAAAAGGTTGGTGGTTCCAATCTGCATGAGTCACCTTGGAAAAAAGGCCTGGGAGTCAGCTCTGAAAGATCACACCCAGTGAAGACTGTGGAGCCCAGTTCTACTCTGACACACCTGGGGTGCCATGAATTGAAGTCGATTTGATAGCAACTGATTTTAGTTTGTTTTTTCATTGGGTGGAAATGATTCTTATCTTTGCTGTGCAGTGGTGACCAACTCTCAGTAAAAAAGTGTGTTTAACTTTTAAAAGTGAGGGAGAAAAAAAGCATAGTCATGGGGCTGGTTCCAGCCTCCTTTTTATTGGTTCTTTTAGTTTCTTCATTAATTTACAAACATACATGAAATCATGAGTTAGGTAAGGCGTGGAGTTAAACTCAAAACAATACTGCCAGTCTATCCCCAGATGAAGAAAATTTTATTCTGATACTTAACCTTCAACCAATAGAAAAGGTATTATCTCCCTTCTGACATCTCAAACTGCCCAAACAACAAATAGAAGCTAAGAACAAAATTATCTCTGTTGGAGCAATAATTCAGCAGGCTCCTTTGGCACTCAGTGGGTGGAACTGAAAAACAGAATCTGAACGACTGGCTTTCCTGCTTGACTTTCTTCTAGTCCCCTTGTAAAATTCCTTCTCTTTTTCCAAGGGACTTGGAGTTTCTCTTTAAATAGAGGAACACTCTAATTTTCTGCGGTGGTGTTACATCGAACAGATCCCTAAGATAAATACTTACAATTTCCAGAGAATTTTCCCTGATGTCACAGAATCCCCAAATACAGCATTTATGCAAATACAGTGTCCACTGCAATAGAGAACCCTGAAAAAGGTTCTTGGAGATGTTTCTTAGCAATTTACAAAGGCATGGGAAGCCCTTGGAAATTGAACCTGGTCTTATAGGTGTGTTTTGATGTTTGGAGACAATGATGAGAGCTCAGTGACTAGGAGCTTTTGAGGTCGAATGTAGGTTCAGTCAGTTGTCAAACATCTGTTGTGTTCAGCTATTTCTAGGCCCAGGTAGTGGTGAATACAGACAGCCCTGGTCCCCCTACCCCTGCCTCTTGTAACTTCAGTCTAGTGGGGACACAGACCTGGGTTCCCATCCCATCTCTTTCACTGCCTGGCCCTGACACCTGGAAGGTCATTTTCTCTTTCACAGCCTCTCTATTCTAGTCTGTGAAATGGGGACAATAAGGGTACTTACTGTATAAGGTCCGTGTGAGGATTCTATGAGACATGCGTATAAAGCTTTGGGCACAGAGAACACATTGGGTAAATATGTAATCCCCTGAGTTCCTGGTAGAGGACATTTCCATCATGACA